CCACCCCCAATTAAGCAACACAGGTTGGTGCAAATCAGGCCTTCCACAACTCAAAGTGGTTCTTTGGCAGAACATCCAGAGGGGCTCTCCAGTCTGATAGTGGCAGGAGCTAATGCTCGGGGCTTCTCCCCGAGTTCAGACTCTGCCTACATTAAGTTATCCCAGCACACCACTGCCCAGCGCATTCTCAAGACCTCAGGGGCGGCGCAATACAAAGGAGCAGAGTGAGCGGAGGCATGCTCCTCCCCTGGTCTCTGGTCTCATTGTCCACAGCCTCCTCACAGAGAAGCAGCCTGGCCGTGAAGAAACGTTTGCTCTCAAGGGCCATCCAGTTCCCATGAGCAGCTAGTGAGAGATAAGATCTTTCAATGAACAAGAAGAATGAGCCTCTGGAATCATTTTTCTCTGCCATGTAATTCCCTTTTGCAAGGCCATGACGTATTTTGTTTCAGGGATGAAGCTTTAGTAGCAACCCGCCTTCACTCTGTCTAAGTACAAGACCCATCTGCTTCATCCTGCTGAGGGTCAGCTGCCAGTATTGCAAGGGACGAAAATAGCCACATATTCCTCTCACTTGCTCCCTCCCTCCCTCTGTCATTGCATCCTCTGCCTTTATGTGTTCCAATCTGTCCATGCCATTCATCACCAAGTTTCTGCCTTTCTGAATTCTGCAGATAGGCCAGCACGCCTGACTTACCCATGCATGATAAGGACACCCATTTCTTTAAAAGGATTTGTAGGACAGATTCCTCTCCCCGGCTGGGTGTGGAGACTGACATTTTGAAAAGAACCCAGTATTTGGTCAAATACTGGAAGAATGTTGTGTGCTCCTCAATCTGGAAGAAGCTTGTTAAGTTTCTGGATACTGCAGACATTGCTAAGTTAACAGGGGCCATACATAAACAGGTGGCATTGCTCAGAGCCCAACTGGCTGTATGAGGAGTATCACTAAAGTAAGTAAACACATGAGAAACTCATATGTAACTAATACTGCAAATAATGGAATAGTGTGATTCTTTATTGGAATTGTGACTGTAAATCTGGATGGAGCACTGTCCTTGTCATAGCTGTAAGAGGGTTGTTATGTTTTCCTTTCATAAAGGCTTGGGTTCTTCTCTGTTGGCTGGGTTCTTCTGCACTAGAATATGAATAATGCAGGAAGCGTTTCTATAGCTAAGGATGATTTGCACCTGTAAATATCTAGCTCTGTACATCTGCAGCATGATTGCTGCTAGAGATAATTTCCTCTAATTAATGGGAATGGTGTTGCGGTACAAACAACCCGTGCTAATAATCAGGATGCCATCACCACAGTAGGTGGCAAAAAGCTGATAAATGACAGAGGTAATGGAAAATCCAGTCCGAGTTTCTTAAGTGATGACTTGTCCCTTAGTAATGGTGGCCATGGAGAGCTGACAGTAACACTGGTTCACCTAATTTATGCCAGTCCGACTTCTGTGAGTTCAAGGCTTATATTTATATGGCACCCTTATGTGTACCTGCATAAGCTGTTGTCTGGGTCAACTGATACCCTGGACAAGGTATCGGTATGGATAATTTTATCCTTTCCTGGGTGCATTTTGATGGGTGCATGTGTATGTTGATGTGTGATCCTTGAATATGAAGTGGTGGGAGGCAGAATCAGCTGGTACACCCATGTTCAGCTCCATCCAAATGTGCAAACTGAACCCTTCTTTGACTGGGCTTTGGAACAGCCCCTCTTTTCCTCAAGCATCTCCTCTGTATGCCCTTGACCTTGAGTGGGGAGCCTGTACTTCAAATGGCAGTAAATTCTACTGATTTCTACCAAATCAGACCATTGGTTCATTGAACCCCCCTGGGCACAGAATCTCTAGCTTGGGGTCCCGGTCTGGCTCCTGGAGTTCCTAGAAAGACACTCTTCCTTCTCCTGGCCTTCCACTTTTCTCAAACCATCAATTTTTTGCTGGTTTTCACTGCGCACTGTCCTTGCCACCACAATTTCACACCACATTCTAAAAAGTTGAATGACCTCCCCTAATTAGTCATTGGTAGTAATAGCTTTAAGCTGAAACATGCTGATAATTTTAGTATCGGGGGCTCTGCTGGGACCTTTTGTCCTTGGTCCCAGCCCAGTCAGTGTACATGAAGGGTGTTGAACATACTGAGGGAGGATCAAATGCCATTTTGGAGATGCGCTTGGCTGGTGCTGGAGAGGCCAGAGCAGCGGGTGAGGCCAGTGGCAAAATGGGTGACTCCAAAGGCATAGAATGGTGAATGTGTTGCAGCTGCGTGGCAGAACCCCTGCCTTGCACAGCACGAGCTTGCTCTCCAGCATCACCTGCAAGGGCTGGCAAAGACGTCTTGCCTGAAAATGGGTTCAGCACCATGGACAGCAGAGATCAGCACAGTGGCACCTCAGCTCACGAACTTAATCCATTCCAGGACTCTGGTTGTGACCCAAAATGTTCGTGAGCCAAGTCAAATTTCCCCATAAAGGTCAAGTAAATAAGGATAATCTGTTCTGCAACCATTTTTTTGGAAGCGGGCACTCGGGTGGGGGATGGACGTGCTCAGGGGGGAGGCGGGTGAGATTGCGGCTGCACTGGGGAGAGCAGGTGTACTGTGGGGGCAGGCGGGCGTGATCGCGGGTGCGCTCGTGGGGGGAGGGAGATGGGCGCAATGGTGATCATCACCTGATGGGGAGTTCATGACCCGAGGCAACATTTTCCTGAAATTTCTGTTCGTGACCCGATTTGGTTGTGAACTGAGGTGTTTGTGAGCCGAGGTACCACTGTACCTGCAAAAGGCTGGCACTATCTATAGGTGAACCTGCCCTTTTGTTTTGTCCATATTTGTGTACAGAACCATAAACAAGTTTATTCATTTGCCTTCTAAATGACCTTAAAATGAAGGAATAGGATATTTGTGATTTCTTGGAACAGCATACGAAGCCTGTGTTCTGCCCCTCCCACTCCAACAGCCATCCCTGAACTGGGTTTTTCCAGATGTTTATGGATATCAGCTTCCTTCAGCCCCCGCCAGCATGCCCAGTAATCAGGAATTTGGGAGTTAGAGTCCTAAAGATCTGCAGAACACCAGGCTGGGAAAGGTTGCTTCATAATTTTAGAAGTGCTAAGTGCTAGTGTGGTATAGGTGAACTTGTTGCTTCATTCCAAATCCCAGTCTCATAAGCTGACTGAATGGCCGCAAGTCAGCTGCTATCAGATAAACATATGAAGGTGGACCATACAGAGGTAGACCATTGGCCTTCTGCAGTTTCATCAGACTGGCAACGCCCTTTGCCTAGGTTTTGCTCACTGAGACCCTTCTAAGTTAAGATGGCAAGGATTGAACCATGTGCCTTTCAGCCTCCCTGTGGGGAGGTCCCATGCCTTCTGTCTTCCTCTGGAAGAAACGTGATCACCTCGTGAGGGAAGGTGGGACCATACAGGGCTTAGGGGTGGGCTGAGGAACTTGCAGCCCATTGCAATGTGTAACCAGTGGCATTAAAAACAAACCTGTAACAAAAGCCAGAAGAACATGAAGTTCTCTGCAGTCAGGATTTTGCTTGTGATAAATATTTGAGGAAGTTGGGTCAGTTGACCCAAAAATAATTGAGTTAGCACCATATTTTTGCTAACTGGAATAAATCACTGTATTTATTAAAAACACACAATAAAGCACAAGGGAAAACAAAGTTGTTTGCTCCTGAGGCAGTTGGAAAGATATTGTTTCAAACATCAGCTCCCCTTTCCTTAAAAGTAGAAAATTCAAAGCAGACTTTAACACAGCACTTTTCTTTTATGGACGAGAGAAAGGGAACTTATGTTATTTCGCTAGGAGTCTCTGTCCAAATATACATTTTGAATAGGCATTGCAAGGACACTCTGGGCAGTCCACACATTCAATTGTTAGTCCTCTACTGCCCAATAGTGAGTCTTTGAACCTGGAAGTAAGTCCTGTTATTTTCAGTAAGACTTGTCCCCAGGTAGGTTTCCACAGGACTGCAGCCCAAGTATACCTTAACCACGTTTAAGAGAACGCAAGTGGTGCGTACGTGCATACGTGAAGCAAGTCTTACTGAGGAATCAAGCAGCCACCTCATTCTTTTCAAAAGGATTCTGAGTGTCATCTGTTGCTATAGTTATTGTTGTTGTTACATTACATTTATACCCTGACTTTCTTCCTCTTGCAAAGAACCCAAGGCAGCTTGGATGAGGGCACCTGCCCACGTCACAGGGATACATAACAAGCCAATGGCTTGGGAGACAAGAGGAATCCAACAAGTTCCTTCATACTAAGACAGAACGTTGGTCCATCTGGTTCAGAATTGTCTATACCAGCCACCCCCAAAATGGTTACTTCCAGATGTGTTGGACTACAGCTCCCATTATTCCAAGTCAGCACAGCCAACAGATAGAAACTGACAAATTTGGAGAGTGCCAGTTTGGGAATAACTCTTGTATACTGGCTGTCAGCAGCTCCTCAGAGTTTCAGACAGGGTTGGGGTTGGGGTTGGGGAATCAGTACTGGGAGAGGCTGAGGATTGAATTGGGGACTTTGAATTCCAAGCACATGCCCTAGCAGTGAATTTGACTCCTCCCCAAATATACCACTTTTGCATATTGAGGTATTATTGCTGACCTTCCTAGATGGTCAGCCATTTTGTTGGAGCTGTTTTGGAGTTCTCTTGCAGAGAACACATGCCTACTGCATAGTTATGTCTATGAGAAAATTTTGGTTTCCACTGGGATATTAATATTGAGCACTGTTTCTTTCTCCCTCAACTCACATGTGTTCAGACATTCTCTCTCTGTTTCTCTCTCATAGGTGCTCGCAAGAGGAAGCCAAACACCAGAAGAGTGATAAAAGCTTCACTTCACACTCATAGCATTCTCATGGCTTTGACTTGACATGAACCTTCTCCGAAGTCAGTTGCTTGAAGTGAATGCTGTCAAGCTTCATCACTGGAACTAACTGAACTTAGCTGGCATTAGTTTCGATCCCTGGACATCACAATGAGTAGTGTCCTTTCATATCTGGACCCCCGGCGTGTCCAGTGGGGCGCTACCTGGTACGCCATGCATTCTAGAATCCTCCGCACCAAGCCCGTGGAATCCATGCTGGAAGGAACAGGCACCACCACATCCCATGGAACAAAACTGGCCCAAGTGCTTACCACCATCGATTTGGTTTCACTAGGTGTTGGAAGCTGTGTCGGCACTGGAATGTATGTGGTCTCTGGCCTGGTTGCTAAGGAAATGGCTGGGCCTGGCGTCATCGTTTCCTTCATCATTGCTGCTGTTGCCTCCATCTTGTCTGGTGAGTCTTTTAAAAATGTATATACAATATTTCACCCTTACTAACAGAATAAGTATTACTGATTCTATTTCACTTGTATCACCTGAGATAATGACTTAATGCCTCTTTTATGGGCACTTGCTATTACTTTTGATCAAATTAGTTTAAAACCCTCATTTCAGAAACTGAAACTTTTTAAACAATCTGTTCTGTGATGGATATAGGTGATCAAGCTTCTATTTTCTCTGACTATCTCTTCTCCCTTTCTTTATTCTCTCCCTCTGGAATGTTCATGTTATGACGGCAGTTGTATCCTGAAAGAATGTGTGTACCTGAACATGCTACTTGTTCAAGCAGACCAAATAAATGCATTATTCTCTGAATTGGTCAACACCTATATGACCTTTACCCCCAGATTAATGCCAATAACTTATAAGAATTAATTACCCTGTGGGAGTTTTTTCTACCATATTTCAAGAATGCCCTCCACAGCATCTGAATGGATGTCAATATGGTACTCTATGGTCACCCCTACATCTAATTAATTATGATTAAATAAGCACCCTGCATCTACTTTCTGACTGAGTGTAGTCAGTTAGCAAGCTAATTATTATGCAACAACATAAGCAGTATGTTTGATATAAACATTGCATAGACTTTTATGGTATTGTATTTGTACCACCCCTTCGGGTAGCATGAGAGTCGACACCTCCGCAGTTTCTGGTTTGTAAGAGAAACTTCCAGATAACCCAGCAACTACATCAAACAGATTTTTTGTAAACCATTTCAAAAATTGGCTTAGTTGAGTGTAATGGACTACAACCCTTTGGCCTCTGAGAATGTGTCCTGGGGCAATAGGAAATACCACATCTCTTCCTTCAAGAACAGAGAGATGCTTCCAGTTTTGGATGTTTCTAACCCTGGATCCCCCTCTCAACACCTGCAGATGTTCTGCACCACTCAATTCCATCCTGTTGGAACTCTGGTATTTAGAGGTAAAAAGAGCATGGGTTAGAGGTGTGACATGGGCAGATAAATGGAGGTCTTGGATCTGCAGGATCCAAGACACTCCTGCCACATACATGGGAAAAAATGCCAGCCTCCCCATAGGTTAACTGTCACGTAATGATATAAGCCACGGATGTCCAACAGAGATTGTTTAGACTGCAGGGAAGATGTCTTTGCACCATCATTTTCCAACATATTTAGCATCAATGAATACCTCCAGAAGTTCTCTGTCTAGAAGGGAAGACTTCTGGATGACTCTGAAACTGCATTGAACATGATATCTTTGTAAACCATCTCAATCAATTAGTTTAATTGGTTTTGCAATACAGTACTAATTGTATATGTGTGGATTAATTACCACTCACCTTCACAACCCTAGACTGGTAACAGTCTGGAGAGAGAAAAGAAGGATGCTGTTGGTCTATCAACTGCTACAAAGTATGATAGGTAAAAGAATCTCCTGGTTTGGAGTTACTAGCCTTCCAAATACTAGGTCAGAAGCAAACCAGAGGGGAGGACTGTGGATTTAATATTCTTCAAACCAAATGCTGGACTAGGTGATCCTTGGTCCAGTCCAGCAAAAGTTCTCTGAGTGCATATCTGACCACTTAAAACATGACTATATTTTTTAAAAGATCATGATGAACAGGAAGAAGTAACCATCTTTTACTCTCTTTGTCCATACAGCCTGTCTACACTCTGAGATAAAATAGTCAAAGCGGTGAGGCTGGGCCAGCATTAAGAGTAGGCATGGATGGATACTTGCTAAGGATGCAGAACTCCAGCATGATCCCACTACAGGTGTCCTCTAGAATTGTCCCTGCTATTTACCACTGCAGCCAGCTTGTTCACCAGCTGGTCGCTTTGGCCCAGTGGTGGTAAGAAGAAGGAGCAGTAGATACTGCTTCCAATCAACCAAACAAGTGGAAGCAAAGATGAGAAAGAGGATGAGGAGCAATAGCAGCTGGTAGTAAGAAGGGAGACTCACCAAAGAGGGGAGTCCACTAGGATGTCTTGCCATAGGACCTCAAAAACCTGGAGATAGTACTGGCTGGCTGGCTGGCTTGAGAAATGGGAGCTTCTCAATAGTGGCCAATGCTTGGAAACTTTTCCATTTGATGTTCACCAGGTCCCTTATTTAGGTCTTCAAGAGGGCCCTAAAGACTTGCCTATTTAGCATTGCCTATAGTTGAATTAGAATTTTATTGGGAGCCATGGTATACATCAATAGAGCTGTTGGGATGTATCATCGTTTTTATATTTTACTTGTGATGTTGCATGACTTTAAATAATATCATATTGATTAATCCAAATAGGAAGCCTACAATTTGGCACACTGAAGCTCTTTCACTCCAAGGGATGAATTCCCTTTCAGAGAAGTTCTATGGGCCACATTGCAATCATGGTGTTGCTAAAGTCAAGAGGAAACCCCCACAAATATGAGCATGTATGTGTGTGGGAAATGTACAAAAGCCAGGAAATGACCAAACACTTGGTGGTTGTGAGAAAGGCAGTGGGGTGTACGGCTATCTGTAGAACCTTATAGATCTGGATTTGTCTCCAAGACTTGCACTTCTGCACCATTTATAAATCTTTTCAATAAAGCCATTGAATCCCAGATTCATTGACAGAATTTACTGAAGAATATAACTTGGTCTGTACTATTTATGTGAGCCCATTTCCTTCTGGTGCTTTTCCTTTACAATTCAATGATATCAAACAGACACAGTGTTCCAAAGCAAGCTGCAAGATGAAAAGAGTCTTTTGTGTTGTGTTGTTCAGGCTATTATTATCAATAACAATATTAATTTTATTTCTATACTACTCCGTAGCCAAAACTGTCTAGGCAGTTTACAGGAGTTTATACAAGAGTCTAATAAAGCATAATAAACATGTTTTATCCAAAATAAAAATAAAAATAAAAATGGATAAAAATCTAGAATAAGGAATTCCAAAATACGGAATTTAATAAACAATTGGAAAATAGCTAAAACTATAAATTATACAGAGTAAACCTATAAAACAGATGGAAAGGATTCTCCCACTCCCATCATGCCATTAAATTCATTGTAGGTCTTTAAATTGCAGGTCTCAGCAAAGAAGGCCATCTTAACTTGGGCCAAAACGAGGTTGGTGGCAGGTAGTCCTCAGTGGGAAGACCTTTCCACAGTTGAGGGGTCACCACTGGAAAGATCCTCCCCTTGCTCAGAGTTTTCCTCAGAGTTGGCACTCAGTGGAAGGCACTGGATGTTGATAACAGTATATGGGTCACTTGCAGTGAGGAGAGGCTCTCTGTGAAATATTGCAACTCCAAACTGTATAAGGTTTTATAGGTTTAAACAGTATCTTAAGTCAGGCTTGAGCACTGCATAGGCAGCCAGTATAAATGGACCGTAATTGGTCTTACATATTCAGTCCTGCTGGCCCCAATTGTTATATGCATTTTGCATAAGTGTCAGCTTCCCTGCAGTCTTCAGTCAATTGAGTCAGTGATTCAACATACATATGAAATATCAATTGTACACACAATCAAGCAAAATGTTCCACCTGAATTTGACTTGCAAAGAAGGCTTTTCTTCATACAGGGGTGAATCAAACATGAAATAAATTAGTTGTTTTCATTCTCTTCTACTGCCATTGCACAGAGAACTGAATTCTGCTCTCTCCTAGGAGCCTGGAATTCACATTAAAGGCCTACTGATGTATATTATTGAGTATATGTGCTCAAACAGCCAGGTAAAACATTCAGCTACACTTACTGTGCAATCTACACCTGTCTACGCATGAGCATGAGCTCAGAGTAAGCCACCCTGAGTTCAGTGGGACTTACTTCCAAGTAAGCATGTATAGCCCAGGTGCTGAACTTCTGAATTCTATTTCAGAGAAGCTGCAATGGCTTTATTCCACTTGTGGGTGGTACAGAAGAGGAAAGGGACAGAGCCAGGGCAGCCAGCACAGGGCCAAAATGCTGCAAATTTTAGCTTAAATCTCACTGAAGGAGAGCCATTTCAACCTTTTAGACATGGGGTGGGGGGACCCACCAAATGCTTGGTGCCAGGGAAGGCAGCATGGGCTCCTGGGAAACCTTGGAGGCCTAGATTTAGCACACAGACCTGATGTTCTGCGCTCTTGGGATAAAGGATTCCTACTGTACTATTTAAGTCTTGGAATCACTAACTGGTGACAAAAAGATGTATTAGGCTTCAGAAGCAATTTTATATGCTTTGCAGGCCCAGTCAAATTTTGACTGAGATGTGTTAAAACAAAAGAAAAATTGCTCAGTGTTTCCATTATTAAACACACAGAGAGAAGAGTGTAATCCCATGCATGTTTGGACAGAGAAAGGCCTGGGACATCATAGAAACTGTAGACCCTTTTCTGTATTAGCATGGCGAGGACTGTGCCTTTAGCCCATCTCTGTATTTAATATACATTCATATAGCATTCCTTCATCAGGCTCACATTGAAATGACAAAGGACCACAGAAGAAATCTCTCCAAAGGTACATTAATATTTCAGACTCCCACAATGAGATGACTGATGCTCACCATCTACGTTCCTTAGCAGTAGAACCCTTGCTGAAAGTTGATGCCACCTGTATCATACACCTTGATTGTTTGTGAGAACTTAGGGAGTTCCACCTCTGACTCTCATAATTTATGCTGCTTTTCAGGATTATCGTGAAGATGAAATGGGAAGGGAGGAGCTATGTCTTGAGTATATGTTTTTAATTTTTTTCCCAAAGTTGTACAGCTTGTTTGAACTACTAACTATAATAACGACTGACCATCATTTGACTGACAGTAGGTTCCTTTTTCACTGTCCAGTTTAATGTCATTTGTTCAAGGGAAAAACCAGCAGAATGTTTCTTTGTTGTCATTACCAAATGCAATAAAACCACCAATAGTGTAGGGAATTGTAGAAGATGTGATGAGCTGTCTGAGGGAAGTATCTAAAGTGCTCCTAGCCCTTGGTGCTAGTTCTTCTAGGACTGTCCTACCCTTAGCGAATTT